TACTTCAGATGTTGAAGCAAATTAGGGAGCACAGGTCATATAAGAGGCAGCCGCCGAACATAACTTCAAAGTAACGAGTTTCCTCGCTCCTGTGGCGGCTTTTTCTAAGCTACTCACTGGAGGTCACAGGGTGTGGTTCAATGAACAGTTCAATCTCAATCTCACTAAACAAGTGTCAATCTTTTTCCGGATAATCAAAATTTAATAGTTATTTATTATCTGTGAGCTAATCTCAAATCATACACTAAGGAACTGCCCATCCGTGTTTTGGAGCTAACAAGATCAGATCCGTGGTGTAGGTGGTGAACAATGGACAAATAAAGAACTCGCTCAGTTTCAAGTTTCTCTGTGTGGGTTGTATTTGCTGTATGTGTATGGATTGTGTACATCCTTTCATGTTTTATACCTATTATCGTGGATTGGATGAATGTGCATCGAACATGGTGAGAACAACAATTCTGTGGTAGTGACGCGTTGACAGCCAAAAACAGTCGTCAAAGTCTCCTTTTGGTAAAAAGGCGCTATTGTGCTCGTCATGTCCGTCCGTCTGTTCGTCCTTCCGTCCGTGACCACGTTTTCGTCGACGAGAAAATGCGCTCTCTGTCACTCACTGCAGTGAGTACTGAATTATATTTTTTAATTAAATATCATAAATTCAAGTGTATTTTTCTTTCATTAGCTACCTTCATATATATATGACTCTTAAAAATGCCTGGGCTTTTATGCCTCACCCTGGAAACTTAACACAGGTCGATTAATGACTACCTGTAGTCATAACTCGACTAACATAACATTAATCGACTGTAGTCGATTAATGAATACCTGTAGTCATTAATCGACCAAAACGTTAGGTATTACTAAGAAACGAAAATAAATTTTTACTTTTACCTAGGAACCTGCCTTTCTAATCGAAAATACCAGAAAAAACGTCCGAAAATTGAATGCGAACAAGAGTTTAATGTATAAAGTTTTATCTTGAAGCTGCTATAGCGTGCACCTAAGTTGTCGGGCAACGTGCGTCGAGCAACGGGCATAAAAGAACGTGCCTTCTGATAACACAGAAGAATCCGATTGAAACTTTTTAGAATAAATCTGTTTAATGATTTTAGAATAAATTTGATGTTGTGAGATTTGTTCGTTGAGTGCTTGGCACGCACCACGTTCAGACCACGACAGCAAACGCCGTGCAGTGTTCTAGACTAGAGGATGTATATGCAATGGGTGCAAAAAGTCTCCTACACAGAGGAAAAACTTTATTTAGTTAGAACTTCTTCAAGAAAATAACATAAACAAAGACTTTTCAAATATAAGTTTACCTGGGAATACAAATATAATTTCAAACAACAATATCATCAAAGGTCAACTTGATAATTTCAATTTTGTAAAAGTCAAGGTTCAAAAAGTATCCAACACATAGTAAACAAATTTACTCAGTACTTCTTCATGAGACTTTTAGCAACCAAAACTGCTTTTAACTGATCTGAGTACTTGTGTTCACAAGATTAACACGTGTACTAATTGGAATTTTAGCCCACTCTTCCAAAAACTTTATTTAATTAGAGCTTATTCAACAAAATAACATAAACAAAGACTATTCTAATATAAATTTTTACCTGGGATATACAAATATCATATCAAAACAACAATATCATCAAAGATCAACTTGATAATTGCAATTTTGTAAAAGTCAAGGTTCAAAAAGTATCCTACACATAGTAAACAATTTTACTCAGTACTTCTTCATGTGACCTTTAGCAACCAACACTGCTTCTAACCAATTAGAATACTTGTTTACAAGATTAAGACGTATACTAATTGAAATTTTAGCCCACTCTTCCTTTCATATTTCTTCCAATTGGATAAGATTTCTTGGACCTCTCTCCTGTACCCTCAATTTAAATTCCCGCCACAGATTTACAATCGGATTGAGGTCAGTTGATTGGCTTGGCCATTTCAATAACTCAATGTCCCTCTCCTAAAACCAAGAAAGAGACCTAAGCACCTAGTCGTTTGCTTAGGGTCATTGTCTTGTTGGAATATAACCAACCCCGAGGCAGATTCAATTTTTCGGCTGACTTCACGAGACATCTCTCAAGAATGCCCCGATGCATTTCAGAGTTCATCCTTCCTTCTATGATTTCCAATTCTCCAGGGCCTACAGAAGAGAAACATCGCTGGGCCTGTGGAAGAGAAACAACCCCAAAGCATTATGCTGCCACCTCCAAACTTCACTGTTGGGACGGTATTCTTCGGGTGAAACGCAGAGTTCTTCTGTCTCCGAACACGACTTACACAGTTCCGATCAAACAAATTAATTTTAGTCTCATATGACCATAATATTTTATCTCAGAAGCTTAGAGGTTTACTCACGAATTTTTAGCAAAGTTCCGGCGGTCCTTACGTGAATTTCCTTCAAGAAAGAGTTTTTCTTGATGACCGAAAGTGGAATCCTCTCTCTCGAAGAACTGTTCTAATTATATTCTTGTAAACATTCATCCCATTTGATTGCGAGTCTTTTTGCAGTTCAGAGTGAGTCAGTCGAGGATTATCCTGTACTTTCCGAACTAAACTCCTAGCTGTACGGTCAGAAATTTTTGTTAGACGAGCGAGGCAGACTAGTCGAAAGTTGGAAAGAGTTCCACATCCGAACAGTATCACCAACTGACGATATTGGGATATTTAATATAGAAAAATTTTGCTATATCCCAAACCATATCTGTGTAACTGAATTATTGATTTTCAATTTGATTCATACAATTCAGCAGTTTTAGGCATTGTTGAAGAGCGTAAAATTAGGCCACCTTCTAATGATGATGCCAAGCAATGAATTACTGCAGGAAGAGAGATGTCTACGACGTTCTATACCATTCTAGAATATTCCAACGTTTTCTAATTCTAGAATATTCCCCCGAACATAATGGATGAGAAATTATTGGCGAATCAAATTATTTTTTCACGATGTATTGCATACTTTTTGGACCTTGACTTTTTACAAAATTGCAATTGCCAAGTCAACATATAATGATATTGTTGTTTTGACATGATATTTGTATTTCCCATGTAAATTTACAGTAGAATAGTGTTTGTTTATGTCATTTTATTGAATAAGCATTGAATAAATAAAGTTTTTCCTTGGTGTCAGATATTTTTTGCACCCACTGTAAGGCCGCTTCGCACGCCCGATGCTTCGTGGGCAAACGACGCATGTGCCTAAGTTTGTGCCCCTTAGTTATGGACGAGGTAAGTTGTGGCCACATAACAGAAAGTAATCGAAATATTACTTCGCAATTTAAAACTTGCGATACTTTTTGTTGATGTTTGAATGCCATAATTTTGTCGGACATGTAATGTAATTACCTGCCCCAATACAAGCACAGATGCCAACCGAGTTGGCTTCAATCAAAAACCTTGACGACATTCAAGTTAAGAAACGCAGACTCGATGAACCGAATAAATGGCAATTCAATATATTTTAAATAAATGCCATGAATATCGAAAGGTTGGCGTGAGTTATCAGATCCTCGCAGAAGTTTAATCCAGACCGAATTGCTGTGGACGAATATCACGTCTGTAATAATACGAAAAAATTATACGAAATTCTCGTATCTCGTGACAATACGAAAAGAAATTCATAACGCCTTAAATTGTCCTACGCGTTGAGCAGCTGCCGCTGATACTGCATCCTCTTGGGGACGGCAATGCTTCTGAAACTGGAGTAAATTATCGCTTGGGGGTAGCTTATTACTTCAGAGACTTACACCTGGACGCTGGAGTAATTTATTACCCAAGAGAATTACTCCTGCGCTAATTTATCCATTTTTTAGATATTAGTGAGGTATGCGAGTGTTTTCTATCCATATAAAGTACTTATTTTTAACGGGCTATCGTGTTCATGGTGGCATGTTAAACAGAGTAACAATGTGAAAAAGTCTTGAGAACTTCTGCATTGTGACTGGCAGCCTTCAATAAAAGTAGGCGGGAAATTCAAGCCGCTGCTGAGCACGTGCACGCCGGAGACGCGTAGCGACCTTGGGACCAACGCATCCACCTTCCAACTGTCGTATCCTTCCGCCCGATCAACTTTTCATCTTCCAACAAGCAGCAGGAAATTCTTGCGTATCCTACCGACATTCTGAGTAAGATCACGCACATCTCCGACTGAATAGCTCGTACGCGTTTGTAATGACAAATGAAGTACACTCGTACTTCTATTTTTCGCTACAATTTTTTGAAGGACTTCAAAGTTTATCTGATGCTGGAGGGAACATAGCAAGCAATTTCTCCGTCTCAGCTCGTGACGATCGCCAATGACGGGTCTTTATCATCAATTAACACAACCCACGAGAGCATAAGTATTCCGAGCCCAGATTTAATCCAATACTATAAGTGAGCCTGCGTGCCGTCAATGGAATAATGTACGACGTTAAAATCAAATAACGTGAGATTTGAATAAAAATCTACACTATATATATATACTATTACGCTCTTGTTCTTAGTCTTTATGTAATGTAATCGTCGTGCCTGCAGGCACTTGGCGACATTCCAGCAAAATTACTAACAGATATGAATATGAGCTTTAAATTAACTAGCCCGTTTCTATGGGCGCTCTCCACACCAGACCAAGAGGTGCGAAAAATTTTTGGAGCAAGACTGACAGGAACTATATATAGGGAACTAATTTATTTGGCAATACTCTAATGTCTCTTGATCCTGAATGAAAATTTTTCAAAATCTGTTTGCTAATAATTTGAATATTAATGATTTGAGTTTAACATGCATTAGTGGCACTAACCCACGAAAACTCAACGTCTAGCTGTCTGTTCTTGATAAAGAAATAGTTCATAGTACTTTTAAATTTAGGTTTACTGACTTTTCATCAACCAACTTGGAACACACCACGGAATGGGTGTACAACTTTAAAATAGTTACGTGGTTCTTCGTACGACGATTTAGGGTCATTGTAGCAGCTCGTTGATAAGGTTGAATGCAAACAAGTGTAGATCATAACATATTTATGCCTACTCTTGGTAAACATCAGTACAAAAATTACTTTGATTTTATAACAGACGATAATAATAAAATGGAATCTTGCTAAGGCCATTGTAACATTGGGACATAACACATTTGTACAGAACAACAGCTTTGGCGCACAATCTGGAGGTGTTATCGTTGCGCTCATGTAGTAGGAATATATTTCTGATGACATCTCTTTGACGCATCCTTCTGTACGTATCTTAGAAGTGACCTCCAGGCCAAACTACAATATAATTAAATATGCATTAGATCTTAGTTATTCCATTGGTTATTTCATAATAAAATTTTACGTCCATTCGAGTTTCTCTTGTGAGAGAAAGAGAATGAGAAGGTGGTAAGATCGTAAAGCTTAAGTGCAATGCGGCATTTTAAAGTAGAAATAATAATACATTTGTTCTTCAGTGATCATCTCTGGAACTTTTTCAATAAATTTTATTAAAAAAGTCTCAGAGATAATATTATCTTCATTTACCGCCTTTTAATCGTAGTTTGAACGTAGCATGCAACAAACGCATCCGAAATTGGGCGCTTTAATACAATGATTTTGCTAACCCGTCTGCGAGTCAGTACAAATAAGCACGAATTACAGTTACCCTAGAGTAATTAACTAGGTTAGTTATTAATTAATTAAGAAATTAATTAATTAATAATTAACCTAGCAAATCTATAATAAAGTGCAATGAGATTAACAACTAAAACGGCACCTGTACACATTATTATTGTAGGCGCCAGCCGTCCTGGCTATGTTCACATTTGTTATCATCGGAAGACATCAAAATTACATTCAGGATTCGAAGAATGAGGCAAAAATTTTTAGATATGTTGTTGTTAAAATTTAATTCAACATTCTTCAAGCAGGAAAATAAGAAAATGTTCCAATAAAAGCCTATCAGGTACGGGGCACCACATTTAATGATTCCGTCTATGATTCTAACCGTGAATGCTGTTCCAAATATCGACCAACGTAATAATATTCTAGCAAAATATCTCTACTTAAAAAAAGTTCAATATTTAATTAAAAAGAAGAGCTACCGAGGCATTATGTACAAAGTCAGGAGGTATATAAATAGCGTTCTACGTCACTTCGTTTGGTAGAGCACTTCTGAAAGAACTATGAAGACTGTGCACATGTTCTTATGACCGAAGTTCAAGATGAAAAGTCACAAATAAAACAAATAATAGTGAAATAATATACATAAAATCATCACTTTCAATTTGTCAAACACGATCCCAAGCTGCTCTCAGAAGCTGCAAGTCACAATTAAAACCCTTCATCCGCAAATAAGGCAAAAGAGTTATTAAAAATTCAAATAAATGTGGAACTTTAACTTTTATAATTCAGAAGCATTGAATTATGTGTAAATTCTTAACGCATCGTAAAATAGAACAAAATAGTTTTCTGAGCACAATGTACACACAACCATAATTACATCTACAACAAAAGAAGCCTGCACAGCCCTCAGAACAAAATTTAACAGGCATCACGAGGCCTACTTCGCCTAGAACGCGAGCCTTCATAAAAGACGTTCTTAATCTATAATGAAGGCTGGAATTATTCCTCGTGATTACTTTATGCGCTTGGCATGGAGCTGCTTTAAGCGTTATTTTTCACGCGGCCATAAGCAATAAGGCGACAATACTTGTGTTTAGCAGCCAGTCATTGGAAACTAGAGGTCGCTGCGCTATACCAAGTAGGGAAGCTACTTTTCAACACGAGATCCTTAATAAATAAAATAAAACATAAAGTACAGAAGTGGATACAATAACATTTTATTAAAATCAGTAAACTTGCTTAATTTAACAGGTAATTTTTCGCTAAGACATAGTCTTCGATTTGGATGTTATGGAAAAATTACGAGAATAATTTAGCAGCGTTAAAGTAATGGATTTAATTATCTAGACAATGACGCCCCGATTTACCAAGCCCCGAGATTTTGGAAATGATATAAAGCAGCTAAAGGGGAGAGAAGCCTCGAAATACAAATATATTCTACGGTAACCAAAGCATATAATGAGTAGAGTAAACCAGTGATTTGCTTGACTTTGCACAAGAAGTCATAAGTTGTACGAGGATACCTCTTTATGTAAACAACTCAAGCGAGGAATTTAAAGATCCAAATTCTACAAAACTAAATGATTTGAAATAAATAAATGGACGTTGATTCCTTGAAACTCTTATCAGACCTGAAACTATGACTGGAGCGACGGCTGACATCGAGGTCTTACTTGCGGCGAATGATTGACTCGCACTAACGATGAGACCTTCGATTAAAATAATATCAGTACAATTAAATGAGTGATGTAGGAAAATAACGAACATGAGCGAATTTAAAGAAGAGTATTCCTGCTAGGAAGTTTTATTTTCCGTATTATTTATTACAAGGAGAAATGGAATGAAAAGAAAGGGTCAAAGCTGATAAATGAATGATCACTTTCAATGAGATCATTTATAGACCATTACAACATAGAGCAAGCGAGATGAAAGATTCACGGTAAATTAAGTAAAATTGTTACTATTTGGTTCCAGTGATCACGTTCAAGATGTATCTGGTGCCACGAATACAAACTCTTAAAGAATAAAATCGTATTTGAGTGAAATGTGAGGTCAAGGGGCGATTGAACTAACAAACATTAAAATTTAAAGGGGTGCGAAGTGGGCTTAGGAATGTGCCAAGCAACGCCACTATTGTGGAGACCAGCCCCAGGATTGTAAGGAGAATGAGCTGAATTTGAATGATTATAGCCAATAAAAGGCAGATCTGAACTGCAGCTCAAATTAGGATCATACTGATTAGCTCCGACATTTGCCAAACTTGGTCCCGGCTCTACCCATCCGCCAGCGGAATATGGGAGGCGCTCTTCAGGACTTAGGACTTCAGGGTTGTTCATATCGGATGACGAGTCGTACATGTCATCCATTTCAGAATGAGCTTGAGGAGGTGCGTTATAATTATCAAGGAGAGGATTATTTTCATGAGAAGGTGATGGAGTGAGCGATTGTATCATCCCACCCGCCTTATCCATCACGTGAGGCGGGGGGGAAGAGTTTCACATGGTAAGTAAGTTCTGGTGTTCCTGTTGGAAGGAGTCCATTTGTTTGCGTACTTCTCTGTGCACGTGTTCAGGCAGATATTGTGAGAAGACTGAGTGAAGAACTGTCACCTCCTTTGACAGCAGCTCACACTTCCGATGTAACTTCTCGTTCTCTCGACTCAGTGCCTGGGTAATGAAAAGAAATTTATTTTCAGTAAGACGTTCAAAGCAACACAAGGAGGCATCAACACAAATAAAATCCGGCAATGTTCGTAGTTAATCAACAATGAGTAAACAACGCACAAAATATCAATCAAAGTAATTACTTGTAACTTTTTGGAATGGAAAATTATTGATCAAAACGGTGGAAGACTTAGTGAGACATATATTTTTCGTGAGTCGTAAATCTAGTTTGCCACTACGAACAGAGTAAAATGCAATAAAAATTTTGTCAGAAATTATACATTGCAGCGTCATTGGATTACACATGATAAATGATCAAACCAAACTCAACTTCACGGCAGGTGAGGTAGAATAACAGTTTGCAGTATTGCAGCAAGTAACAACTATTATTATTAAGTACTATTCATAAGTTTGAAATTATGGGCTACCTCCTCAATGAATGAGGGAAATAAATGATGTTTTCGTGAATGGAGCTGTCAACTGCGATCAGATATCTTAAGCATTAGAGATGTTATCACGTAAATTACATAAGATATGACCTGATCTTATCAGCGACATAAAGTTTTTATCGGCGTCGTGAAATCAAATAGATTGAATGGAGAATAACTTCGCCTAATAACTGCCTATGGTATATTGGCTACGGAACAGAAGACGAACCATAAACTACGGAACAGAATGGAGGAAAGCTCTCACGGAATTGAAATAAAACGTAAAAATTAGAAGAGAGCGCAAAAAAGATGGCAATCTTTGTAGTGGCGACGCCGAACGTGAATGCTTCAGGTGGCCGTTGCAACATTGCATCTGGGAGGTGAACGAACTCCTAACGATCGCGCGGACGTTAGGTCACTGAACTCGAAGCATGAAGCTCGACGTCGGCCACGTCGGCCATTCTAATAACATCATTGCAGAAAACTGACCGATGACGTGGCATTTAAAACAGGTCTATAGAATAGAGTTCAAGCAGAAAAACGAGCACGAACACCGCGCTTCCTGGTTAATAACACGTACAATGTGGCTGGGAAAAAGTGGCTAGATCAGTGGAAAATGTTATCATCAGCTCACCAGTTATGGAGTGTGATCAGAAAATTGCTTTGTGACAGGAGGATGCATAACAAATTTCCTTTAACGCTTATTTCGCAGTCGCGGTTCGTTTCAAATGACCATACAGGAAAAATTCAATGAAAATGAAGAGGGTTCAATCGCAATCAAATAACGTACAAACTCTCGTTAGAATAATGTGGTATAGTAAAACAGAATAAAGCAGATACCCAAAAATATAGGACGATTTTTAGAACGTTTTCAGGTACTTTCTTTAATTCTTTAAGTGACATGACAAGGAAAAGGCTTGAATAAATCAATGGATAGAACAACATTTCCCATTCCCACTCAATGAGCTCATTATTTTAATTTTGAATCGGAAGATACGCACCACTTGTAACCAAGTCAGAGACATTAAGATTTGAATATTATTACAATTCAAATCATGAGACAATCTTCCCATTGAATACGCGAGTGCCGCATAGCTCATCAAGAGGATAGTAGCGGTCCATTACAGCAGCGGATGGTTGGTTACACTGCGGCGCTCGTGAGCGGAAAGTGTGTACTTCCGTCAGCTAACAAAGTGGAACACTTTCACGTGACCACTCTTCCCGTCGTGCCAGCACCACTCTCACTCTCCGTGTCGCAAGCTGCACAGTCATGGCGGCACCACCGTCTATACACTGCACACCCAAAACGTGCTACTCGAGATCCAAAAAGATTTTGACTCACGTACGCTCTCCCGTGACCGAAACTATTGAAACATTGTTCACGTTGACTTCACTAAAAAACTAATCAGATTGGATAATATGCAGAAAAAACAAGGCACTGACGTGCCTGAACTAGAGTTCCTTTGCTTCGAAAGAACTTGAGATCGTATGAACTTAACAAATTTAAAGATCACCCTCCCCCTCCCGATAATCAGAAGTGGACTTGGCTTTGTCGAGGGAGAGAAAGCAGAATATTAATAACAATGACGTCAAACAAAGTTGCCCCCCAAAAAGAATTGAAATTTGATCCATACAGTTTTGCGATACGAAGAAAATCAAACGAGATAGACAAAAAATATTCGAGCAGCCCGTCATGACGTGAGAGGCCTGTCAACCGATCGTCGGAGTGACATGAAGCGGCAGCGAGGAGCCACAAAAGTCTTATGTTGCATGCAATTCAATGGACACCTCCCATGCGGACAACACTGACAACCGGTGTTTGGAAAAATTTTTGAGTGTTAATAGATTAAATAATCGTCGGAGTCCTTTATTTAAGGCTTGAATTATGACCATGATCGCCATACTGCACATGATTGTAAAAGTTCTACTAAATGATGAAATCACAGGCTAGGGTTTAAAAAGAGTTTGCGCACCTTAACTATAATAATAATATGAGATAACAGGAATTAATAATCAGTACTGAGATTAGTATAGTGGAGAATAATATTAAGATAAAAATAAATAAATATTAAGATGAAAAAACTACAAAATAAACGAACGGGCTCACCTTTACTCTCTCCTCCGTGTCCCGTGATCGTGCTTTAGCTTTCTCTCTGCTCTTCCTGACAGCGATATTATTGCGCTCCCTTCTTCTCCGGTACTCTTCTGTGCCAGGCGCGACGTTCTTCTTTAGGTTCTTGGACAAGCTTAGACAACCAGGGGACTTGAGAGGAGACTTAAGGAGATCAGGGCCTGGCAACGTGACGGGCGTCATGGGCGCGTAAGGAACTAGTCCCCCACCGTAGCCGTTATTGTTGGCATAGGCGACACGAGCGCAGGCAGCGTAGTCCTGCGCCGTCTGGTCACGAGGCTCTTCCTTAATATTTCTTTGGTCTTGGTGATAGTGGCGCTCGTACTGATTGGGGTTGTGGATGGGTTGAGGCAAGTATGTATTATTGTACATATTTGGGTGCATGTTGACGTTGCCGTTAATTGGGTTCGCCGACAATCCTCTGGGTGCCATCTGATTTAATCCATTGTTGTTCAACTGCTGGCCTACAGGTGATGCACCTTTATCAACATTTAGACTTTGTAAATCACTGATCAGGCCTTCGTTAAAATGAGCATCACTGAAATTGGTATCATCGATGAGGTTATTGAGATTTAAAGAGATCTCGGATGTGTTAAATTCGCTCAAATCTCCGTACTCGTCCGAAAACAGTGACAACGATCCCTTTATTTTCAGGCCTGCCGCTGTCATTTTCTTATACTCAGCTGAGTCGTATAGATGAGGAGCTTCCATTGCATTGCAGGGCGATGCCCCGGCTCCGTAACGCACGTCCTCCAGGATGTCGGTGAATAGAACAGCGAGATCACTCGGAAGATCAAAATAGTCTCCCCTCACTGGCACTCACAGCCAAGTCAGAATATCACTCCCTATGCTAGCTGCTACAACCCACTCACTTGACGCTAACGCCGCAACTGAACTCGTGACGCAACCTCTCTCTCATCTTATAGTTCTGCGGCGTCGAGGGAGGGGCGGGGTTGGTGTTAGACGAGCAATTAAACTCTCCCTTCACGAGCTACCTAGCGAGCGCGCTCAGTTCACATACATAGACGAAGACGAGTATATTAGGTTTGTTGTGAGATGAAATTATTTCATTTAGTCTGCATCAAAGTCCTCAAGTTGGCTTAATAATAATCTCGATTCTAATATACGTGGTCCAATATAAGTAAGAAATTTATTACACTAAATGAGCAAAGATTATACCGTTATAATTTTTAAATGTCTAACTATGCATTTTCGAATATTTGTTAAAATTTAAATTCTTAATCTTCACCACAATGTTTAACATAAAAAATAAGTGCACAATATAAATTAGATCCATTACGATAGCTTGACTAATTAACTTGAGGTTACTTTAATACGGCGTATTCAACTTAAATATAAGTTCAAAGATAATTTTGAGCGCAGAAGCGAGTGAACCAGCATCTGGAAATATCAAGAAGCTTGTGCTTTACACCTGAAAAATGTATTTAAATGCTAGCTGGCACCTGAAGCGATGACGCGGTTGTGACGTCAGCAGTCGGACGTCACACGCACCAACAAGTTTGCCGCCAGCATGCCAAGCATCGGTCAAATGCAACCTTGCGGTCGGTATCTTCCACTAATATTATTTGGAATGAATTCCATGAAATATTGAGTTTGTTGCCGAGTGGTCTAGGAAATGCTCCTAAAAACAATTTAGAAAAGAAAACTAAATTTAAAATTATTTGGATAATTTTGAACGAAAATAAAGAGCATTGTCCAGTGCAAGTTCCAATAGCTGGATCAATTAAACGAAGTTAGTTATGCGAGAACCACCCCCTCTTCTTGAGTTCTTATGGATTGTTTTCAGTGCTTCTGACTTTTATCTTAGATTGAACTATCTAAATGAAGCCCTTACCTTAACTATCGATAGGTTAGCCTGATTAAAACCGTAGATAATTTATGGAATTTTAAACATTCCAACAGAGATCAGGTACAGAATGTACTGAGATCAGGTACAGTATGTACTGAGATCAGGTACAGAATGTACTGAGATCAGGTACAGAATGTACTGAGATCAGGTACAGAGCTGTCTCTTATACACATCTAGATGTGTATAAGAGACAGCTCCTAACGATCGCGCGGACNGAGATCATGTACAGAATGTACTGAGATCAGGTACAGTATGTACTGAGATCAGATACAGTATGTACTGAGATCAGGTACAGCATGTAGTGAGATCATGTACAGAATGTACTGATCAAGAATCTGGTCATCCCGAATCCAGAAAATATTTGAACCAAAAGCACAATAATCTAAAAAACGCCCGATCGATCCCTCATCCAGCACAGAACTATCGCTCGTCTTTAAATTTTAAGGAAACTTGGAACTTTTTATTTTTGAATAAATTTCGCATTAACCAAAGTAGATATCATATTTTTCATTCTAAATCTAACTCTCCTCTCTTAATTTATTGATGTAACCGAATTCCAGCATTGATAATAAAATTCTCAGCAATTAATAATCGGACACGATATATAATCATATTGGAAACATGCCTAATTTTTTCTCAGTGGCTATATATTTGTGTGGCTAGGTTTCTAACACACAGGTGGACAAATATATAGAAGACTTGAGTTATTAATTCTAATTGAGAACTAATATAAATCAGTGAAGACGTTCAGAGAATACATGAGTAGAGCAATCATACGTGCTATATTATAAAGCTTAACTGTAAACAAAACTTCCAAAAAACTATAGTATTGCATGCGGTGTCCTTGCTAGCAACCAATTTGGATGATACGAACTTTTTTCGACAGGTACAAGTAACTTTCGGTAAGTCAAGGCGTGTAGCTTCTGGCCTAAACTCTTCTGTGCAAATAATCACGGCAGTTTTGACTAAGAACTTAGAACTTTCATTTATTTCTACAGTTATTGAGCTGAAAAAAAATTATTAAAAACTGAACTGATTCATATTAATATATAGACTTCCATGAAGCTTCCAAATAAGATTCAGACCCGCACATTCCAATAACACTTTTCAAAGTATTTAATTTTTTCTGTATTTCCATATTTAATGTAAAATGTAATCTCTCCGAATTTAATGTAATCTCTCTTTTTAAAGGCTTGCATTTTAAAGAAGTCTGTGACGCAAGCGCGCACAGGGGTCGTTCTATCAAAACGCGCATAGTAGCGGCATAAGTAAACGTATAGCTGCCGATTTCTCATTTATAATTGGTTGGTTTAACTTGAATAGCAGTCAGTTATTAGGTGGCCGAGTAACGAACTCGTAACTATTTTTGATAGTAGCTGTGCAGTTTGGAGCACCTTGAAGCAGTGGCTTTTATTTATTTATTAGTGTAGCACCTTGAAGCAGTACGTGGCTGTGAATGATCTATTATGAAGTTTCTTGATTCCCACTAATTCGTCTCTTGGTCGGGACGAGTTAAAACCTTTTTAATGAATAGATTCTTAGCGCCTGAAATGTAATTTATATAACAGTTGTGCTCTAATGCCATAAAGAAACACCACTCGGGTACCTCTGACGACTCAACTGAAATAAGTCTGGCAGAGTGCTTAGGGTCATTGTCTTGTTGAAATATCCAACCCCGATGAAGGTTCATTTTTTTCCGGCTGACTTCACGAGACATCTCTCATGAATGCCCCGATTCATTTCGGAGTTCATCCTTCGTTCTGTGATTTCCAATTCTTCAGGGCCAGTAGAGGAGAAACAACCCCAAAGCATTACGCTGCTGCCTTTAAACTTCACTGTTGGGACAGTATTTTCGGGTGAAACGCAGAGTTCTTGTGTCTCCAAATACGACTGACACAGTTCTGTCCAAACAACTAAATTTTAGTCTCATCTGACCATAATATTTTATTCCAAAAGCTTGGAAGTTTACTCACGTGTTCTTTGGCAAACTTCTGGCGGTTCTTACGTGAATTTCCTTCAAGAGAGGGGTTTTTCTTGGTGACCAAGAACGGAATCCTCTCTCTCGAAGAACTGTCTTAATTGTATTCATGCGAACATTTTTCCCACTTGATTGTAACTCTTTTTGCAGTTCAGAGCGAGTCAGTTTGAGAATTATTCTGTACTTTTCAAACTAAACTCCTAGCTGTACAGTCAGAAATTTTTGTATAGGACGCCCTGAACTAGGCAGGCTAGTCGAAAGACGGAATGATTTTCACCTCCGAAAAGTATCACAACTATCGAAGTTTGGATATTTAGCACAGATGATATTTTTCTATATCCCAAACCATCTCTGTGTAGCTGACTATATGGTATGCTCCCTTGAGATACCTCAAGATGAATAATTGTAGCTGAATAATATATTTTCTGGTTGATTCAGACAATTCTGCAGTTTTAGTTATTGTTGAAGAGCGTAAAATTTAGGCTACCTTCTGTAATGACGATGCCAAGTAATGAATGACTGCAGTAAGAAATTAACGTTCTTTAACATTCTGGAATATTGCAACGTTTTCTATTTCTAGAATATTCCCTCGAACATAATGATGAGAAATTATTGGCGAAATTATTTTCTTACGATGTATTGGATACTTTTTGAACCTTGACTTTCACAAAATTGCAATTGTCAAGTCAACATATAATGATATTGTTGTTTTGACATGATATTTGTATTTCCCATGTAAATTTACATTAGAATAGTGTTTGTTTATGTCATTTTATTGAGTACGCTTTAACTAAATAAAGTTTTTCCTTTCCTTACTTTTGCACCAACTGTAAGGCCGCTTCGCACGCCCGATGCTTCGTGGGCAAACGACGCATGTGCCTAAGTTTGTGCCCCTTAGTTATGGACGAGGTAAGTTGTGGCCACATAACAGAAAGTAATCGAAATATTACTTCGCAATTTAAAACTTGCGATACTTTTTGTTGATGTTTGAATGCCATAATTTTGTCGGACATGTAATGTAATTACCTGCCCCAATACAAGCACAGATGCCAACCGAGTTGGCTTCAATCAAAAACCTTGACGACATTCAAGTTAAGAAACGCAGACTCGATGAACCGAATAAATGGCAATTCAATATATTTTAAATAAATGCCATGAATATCGAAAGGTTGGCGTGAGTTATCAGATCCTCGCAGAAGTTTAATCCAGACCGAATTGCTGTGGACGAATATCACGTCTGTAATAATACGAAAAAATTATACGAAATTCTCGTATCTCGTGACAATACGAAAAGAAATTCATAACGCCTTAAATTGTCCTACGCGTTGAGCAGCTGCCGCTGATACTGCATCCTCTTGGGGACGGCAATGCTTCTGAAACTGGAGTAAATTATCGCTTGGGGGTAGCTTATTACTTCAGAGACTTACACCTGGACGCTGGAGTAATTTATTACCCAAGAGAATTACTCCTGCGCTAATTTATCCATTTTTTAGATATTAGTGAGGTATGCGAGTGTTTTCTATCCATATAAAGTACTTATTTTTAACGGGCTATCGTGTTCATGGTGGCATGTTAAACAGAGTAACAATGTGAAAAAGTCTTGAGAACTTCTGCATTGTGACTGGCAGCCTTCAATAAAAGTAGGCGGGAAATTCAAGCCGCTGCTGAGCACGTGCACGCCGGAGACGCGTAGCGACCTTGGGACCAACGCATCCACCTTCCAACTGTCGTATCCTTCCGCCCGATCAACTTTTCATCTTCCAACAAGCAGCAGGAAATTCTTGCGTATCCTACCGACATTCTGAGTAAGATCACGCAGCGTCCAAGGGTCACTTTTGATGACGCGTTACAACTTATTTTGACGCTCCTCTGCGTCACTGCAAAGCACCTTCAGCATTGAGATTAACAAACTTAGCCATCGTTATCGGCGTATTAAAAAGTGCACTCCATACAGTACGTCTCCAAGCCAAACTTAGCCATCGTTATCGGCGTATTAAAAGGTGCACTCCATACAGTACGTCTCCAAGCCAA